ATCTGTTGCCCGGCCTCTATCCACCTCTAACCACTATTCATGTGTTAGACAAAGTCCAAATTGGTCATTATTCTTCTTAGTCCAGATTTTAAGATCTTCATAAATCAGGGAGGAATTCAGTCAATTTGATGAGAGCCCTTCTATCTCATCACATTTGTTACAACCCCCATCAGGCAACAGCAAGTCACCCCCACCACTAACACACAACACTTCTCCCCGCTCAGGGGTGCGGCGGCAGCGCTGGACTAGCTCAGGGGCGCCCCCGAGTCGTGTTCCTGCCGTGAGAACGGCCCACTCGTTCAGCTGCCACTCCAGGACAGCGGTTGCGACACCTACCTCCCATTTGCTTACATCTGATCCCAGATATCCACCCAGGGCTTTCTTCCCCCACTGACACTGAATTGGGTTGCAGATAGGAGCAAATGCCGATACGGACTGTTCAGAGAGAAAGCATGAAAAGAAACAAGAATTAAGTAAGTGAATTTAGCTAGCTAACAGGCAAATCAAAACCTTTTTCAAAACTGTGCTACCAGAACCCAGAACTCCCCAACCCTCGGAGCTAGGTACCCTAACCATTATCCTACTTCCCTCTTATTCTTTCTAGCCCCACAGTTTTGCCTTCCTTTTTTCGCATCGGCCAAGCTAAAAATAGGCAGGGCTAGATGCCCCGTTCCTTTCCTTCTTGGGAGATGCTGGCTTGAACTCTCTTAAGCAGCAGAGAAGGAACTCAAGTCCTTCATGGCCAGCGTGGGACCACTTCACCTCCAGCTGGATTTTGGCAGAGTGTCACAAAAGCCTGAGGCATGGGACTGCTCAGCCAGTCTAAGCACGTGTCAGTGTCTCAGGAGTTTAAGTACCTCCAGGATTGGGGGTCCAGAAAAGTGCATTTCAGATCACAGCTCCTGAAGTACCTAAGTCCAAGCCCTATTCTCACATTCTTCTTTTGGGTTTGGCCCTGGGACATCAATATTTCCACTCTTAAGTCTTCTAAAAAATAACAACAAGCCAGCTGAGCAACTGCCAGTTCTCCCGGATTTTGGTATTTTCAATTTAATGTTTACTTCTTTTAGCTAACACAATTAACAGTTAGGTGCCAACAGTGAAAACGGAAAGTTCTAAAGTACTGGCCCCAAAAGATAAAAAGGAGAGATAAAAATGAAGCTTCATCTGCATTCGACTGTCTTACAATGCCAAGCTGACACTGAGCAAATGTTATGCTATTTGCAAGAACACAGTTCTGGTTTTGCAGCAGCTGACCACAACGGCAGGGCCAGGACAGCCCAGGAAAAGGACTGACCCACAAAGGTAGAGCTCCTCATCTCTCCAACACCAGTGCGTGATTCACCCTCAGAAATGCATTTTGCATAGGCCTGTCTCCAACAAGAACAATAAAATTCATCACAGAATCACAGAATGGTTTGGGTGGGAAGGGACCTTAAAGACCATCTAGTTCCAACCCCCCTGCCACGGGCAGGGACACCTTCCACTAGACCCGGTTGCTCAAAGCCTCATCCAGCCTGGCCTTGAACACTTCCAGGGATGGGGCATCCACAGCTTCTCTGGGCAACCTATTCCAGTGCTTCACACGCCTCTGCGGGAAGAATTTCTTCCTGATATCTAATCTAACCCTCCCCACTTTCAATTTAACCCCGTTCCCCCTTGCCCTGTCACTACAGGCCCTTGTAAAAAGGCCCCCCCAGCTTCCTTGTAGCCCCTTCAGGCACTGGAAGGGGCTATAAGGTCTCCCCGGAGCCGTCTCTTCTCCAGGCTGAACAAGCCCAACTCTCTCAACCCTTGTGAGTATAAAGGAAAGGCAAATCAGTTCCAGCATGTTTGACTTAGTTCAAGTGGAATACAAATGAACCCAACTTCAGATCCTCAAATACTTTAAGCATCAGTCTTTAGGGAAGCTGACACGCCGAGCTCGGGGAGGACACTATTCAGGTGCTTACGGTCATGCTTGCTGTCAGTTGAAGTTAACGGACTGAGTAAATTCTAAGCAAACAGAGATATAATAGTGGAGAAAAGGTTCGCTGGTAATAAAGATCTCTAAAAGGAACAAGACAAGGTATGGAAAGTCATAGCATATCCCACAACCAGATTCCTAGGCAGTAATGGCAGCATGAATTAATTCCAGAGATAGAAGGTGCCTGTTTATGCTTAAATATAAAAACCGGGGATTGGAAGAGCTGTAGCATCATCCAAACAAAACTGAACTTCTCTTAATTTGTAAAATGTGTAGATTTTTTTAACTTCACTCACATTCTAGCGTGGTGCTTCTGGCAATTTTTCATATTCTAATCAATGAACTGCTAGAACTCAAACCATTTATACATTTAATGCTATGATGGAACTTGGTATTACGTTTTCTTTCTTCACTTCCACAGAGATCTGTATAAGCCTTAGCAAACCACATGTAAGCCCTACTGTGTCTTACTTTGTACTTTCCAGGATTCTTCAGAGCAAGAATAAGAGCTCCATGACCTCCCATGGAATGCCCAAAAATAGACATGCGTTCCGGGTCAGTTGGAAAATTGGCATTTATTAGTTTAGGCAGCTGTAAGGGAACAACAAAAACGTTAAAGCAACTTGAGACAATAAAAAGCACAGCAATAACCAACGTGTTTTGATGCCAGGCAGCTGCTGAAACCAAAGGCATATATTTGGATCTAGACTGACATTTGTGATCACGGCCTAAAAGCAATTTGAACGGGACTGTAAAATCAAAAGGAAACAATCTGATAATAAGTAACTCAAAGTATCCACCCTAACCCTGTAACACAAGATGTGTGAATCTCCTAATAAACACAGACTTTATTAGATACCTTAATCATAGAATCATAGATTCACAGAATGATTAGGGTTGGAAGGGACCTTAAAGACCATCTAGTTCCAACCCCCCTGCCATGGGCAGGGACACCTTCCACTAGACCAGGTTGCTCAAAGCCTCATCCAGCCTGGCCTTGAACACTTCCAGGGATGGGCCATCCACAGCTTCTCTGGGCAACCTGTGCCAGTGCCTCACCACCCTCTCTGGGAAGAATTTCTTCCTGATATCCAATCTAACCCTCCCCACTTTCAATTTAAACCCATTACTCCTTGTCCTGTCACTACAGGCCCTTGTAAAAAGTCCCCCCCAGCTTCCTTGTAGCCCCTTCAGGATGGTGGTGATGGGAGATATTAAAGAATATATGTGTGCTCTAAGTGACCAGAATGGCAAATTGTTCCTGGGAGATTACCTGCTCCCCATATTCCCACCAACTTTAGTTTTAATCCACACAAACCCCATGCAGAGCAACGTGGACACTCACCTTGCCAATATGTATCTCAAGGATCTGCTCTTACACCCAGCTAAAGAAAAAGTAAACGCAAACACCCCACCCCACCCTCCCAAGGCAGAGAGCGAGCAGTCCCCACAAGCAACACCAGTGCACTGAGATGCGGTGGGTGGTTTCAGGAGCAGGAGAGCAGAGATTTTACAGGGGTGGAGATTGCACAACTAACGAATCAAGGTTAGAAGCGTAGGCCAACCCTGTGGCATCTCTGGCAGCACAACAGACTCAAGGAGTTCCTGCTCAAGGCCTGCCAGGTGTTACCATCTCTGTGCTGTGGTTCTCTCCCTCCTCAGTTCTACGACAGTATCTGTTTGGTGAGGAAAGGCCTAAAAACTGGATAAATCCAACCACTGAAATAATCAGGGATTAAGAAAGAAATAATAAATTACTTTTACAAAAGACGAAGGCAAGGAAACGACAAAGCACCCACAGGCTATCAAGATCACTGTAAGCAAGCTTTGGTGCTAGGAACAAAAAGCATGACTGAAGCTCACCCCCTTCATCACCTTAGCCAACACCACCAGAACCCAGCAGCAAAGTTACCTCATCCTTTATGTAGGAATACATCCTATAGTTTGTCTTCCAAGGATCTTCAGTGGCATCCACATAAAAACCAGCACCGGTGCCAAAATCCCAGCTTTCATCTTCTCCTTCAATATTGCAGCCACCTACCATGAAAATTCTTTCTATAGTTAACTGTCTTTCCTTTAACAGATGTTCCGAACTGGAAAGCCTGCCGTAGAAATCAGAGACTTGGGACATGCGTTTCTCAGTCAACGTGTCTCTGCCCCTCCCACTATAAGACAATTCAGATTTTCATTCCTCAGCACAGTGTTTTAAAGTGCTGTTTCAACAAGGCTTTCAAAACGTCACTTATGTGTTACCTACAGATGTATCCAACTCCTAACTCGCTTCAGTATCCCTCTGGATACTGAGAGCAGCCCTGAAGAGAAGGAC